TACGGTTCATCGTTATCCCTCTTGGGATTTGTCTTTAGTTTTGCAAGCTCTCACTTTGTCTCCGTTTGAGCCGCTGGGTTCCACTTCACTTAAGTTTCTGTCGTTCAAAGTTGCTTTTCTCCTGGCGATCACATCGGCTAGACGCATTTCTGAGCTCGCTGCCTTATCTGTCAGGAAGGACTTGTGCATTTTTCATGCTAATACTGTGGTCCTGAGGATGGATCCTGCGTTTTTGCCCAAAGTTAATTTGTGGTTTCACCGGGCGCAGGAATTAGTGCTTCCGGATTTCTGCCCGTCGCCGGGACATCATCGAGAGGTTCTTTGGCACACTCTGGATGTCCACAGGGCGTTGAGACGTTACATACGTAGGACGGCCGAGTTTCGGAAGACGGAAGCCCTGTTTGTTTCGTTCCATCCTGCATCCATGGGTCAGAAAGTGTCGTCGACCACGATTGGTCGTTGGATTAAGGCCTGTATTGCTGCTGCTTATGAGAATCAGCGTCGTCCTGTTCCTGGGAACATTTTGCCTCATTCTACGTGGAGTGCGGCTACTTCAGCAGCCTGGGCTACCCAGGCTTCTCTGTTGGACATCTGTAGGGCGGCTACTTGGACTTCTTTGTCGCCTTTCATAAGACATTACCGGATTGATGCCTATGCTTCGGCTGAGGCGTCTTTTGGGCGACGGGTTTTGCAAGCAGTGGTGTCTGGGTCTTCTGAGTTGGATAGTGTTTTGCCCGGCCCTGAAAGTTAGGCTTGGGTATGTCCCAATGCTGGAGTGTAGTAGCAGCGTTCTGGAAAATGGACATTGACTTACCTGAATGTCCTTTTTCGGAACGTTGCGTATACACTCCATTTCCCTCCCTTTCTTTGGTTGTTTGCTTGTGGTGGTTTTGTGTTAATAAAATTTGTTGTAGTTCACCTGTGATGTCTTCGTTCAAGACTGGGGATTCGGGTGCAAAAGGGGGCGTGGAGAGAGCACAGAGTGGGAAGATAAGTAGAAAAAAGTTCTCTCAGTTGCTGTCAGAGAAGAGGATTTTCCCAATGCTGGAGTGTATACGCAGCGTTCCGAAAAAGGACATTCAGGTAAGTCAATGTCCATTTCCTCTTGAGAATGAGTCCAGTTTCTTTCCAGTTTCATAGGATTCCTTTTCCAGTGGGGCATTAACACACTGTTTCCGGTTTTTGATTTAATTGTAGTTTAGGCTGTTGTTTGAAGTGTAAATTATAATTAATTTTATCTTATTTTATTGTAGTTATTAATACAATAATTATATGGGATGAACTATGTTCAATCATTAAAATGGATGAATTATGCCTAATTGAAACAGCAATAGCATCTAAATTTCCCTATTTAGCTAATAGACCATCAATTGCTGGGGTTTTTCTTGGCTGTGAGCTCAGCTTCCTTGGAAAAGATTCTCCAATAGTAATAAAATGAACCAATAATGAATGACCTTTAAATGTCTGCCTTAATACTGCCCATAAACCTACAGTCTATATAAATTTATTCCGAATCATTGTCAGAAGTACTGAACTTCTTTATAGAATTACTTTGCCATGTGACATTTCAGTAATTGATTAGTAATTAACTGTCCCAAATGTGTATACAGTTTTCATTCAGAACAAACAGCTTTTTTCAGTTGCATGTATCTGGGTGCCTAATATTTAAAGATGATAGAATTTCCTGTGCCGAGCTATAAAGAGGAGAGTGGCCTGCAGGAACAGTCCCAAAGATGCTTTTCGAAAGGCAGCTGCACTTTCTTGTTTTTTTTTTCCTTGAAAATGTTTCGCTTCTCATCCAAGAAGCTTCTTCATAACTGAAGAACTGAAGAAGCTTCTTCGATGAGAAGCAAAACGTTTCTTAAGAGTCAGTTTAGTGTCAGGGTTCCAAGGTACACACCCATAGCAATCAAAACTCCGAGGCAGTTGAATTCCTCAAAGAATATAGAGCCTTGATAGTACAGTGGTCTACGCACCCTGTTATTAACACAGCTGCCTGCAATTTCTGCTGGTTCGAATCTCTCCAAGGCTCAAGGTTGACTCAGCCTTCCATCCTTTCTAAGGTAGGTGAAATGAGGACCCAGTTTGTGGGGGCAATAAGCTGACTTTGTATAAAATATACAAAAGTATGAAGGCTATTGCTTATATATATATATTTGTTGGATATGTCATATTGGCACGAACTGCTGAAAACTGACTCTAAATGTTCCCGCAGTTTTCACCTAATTAAAAGTAAAAATTCTTTCACTTCCTCCAAACAATCAGTCACAAGGTCCAATCAGGATACAGTCCAGTTGCTAGATGACTCCAGTCCCCTCCTTCTGGACACCTGGTGGGAATGTCCTTGGTTCCCAGGAGAAAGTATTTTGTTTTGGCTACCAACCCCTCAGCTATCTCTACTCCCCCCTCCCTTTCTCACAGCTCCAGTTGTGACAGCACTGAAGCCTCAAAATGGCCTCAGCCAGGTCAGCTTCAGGGTTTGACAAAGTTTTCAAGGAAAAAACCCAAGAAAGTCCAGTTGCCTTTCAAAAAGCACCTTTTTGGAACACCCATAACCTGGATGATTGAGAATCTCCATCGATGACCTGCGGGAATTGGATTCCCATGGCAGCCACAGGTCTTGCTGTAAAATTCAGATGGCTTTGGAGGCCCGGAGCTTCAATTCTAATGATTAAGGCGAAGATCTCTGATAGCTTGCAACACCATATCTTGGAGAGATTTCTTGGAGAGACTGAGTTGGAGTACCATACCACACCACCCCATTAAGAAGTCAGGGAGATGGGGACCCAGGAACAAGTTGGAGGTTAGAACATAGGGATGAGAAGTTGGAAATGAAAGTATGAGGAAGAGGATCGGAATTAAATGAAAAGCAGGATGGTTTGTCAGAAGACCAGTCCCCTTTTTTAAAAAATAGTTTTTATTAAACAGTTTTTTTCATTTTATAGAATAGAATAGAATAGAATAGAATAGAATAGAATAGAATAGAATAGAATAGAATAGAATTCTTTATTGGCCAAGTGTGATTGGACACACGAGAAATTTGTCTTTGGTGCATCTGCTCTCAGTGTACATAAAAGAAAAGATACGTTCATCAAGAATCATAAGATACAACACTTAATGATAGTCATAGGGAACAAATAAGCAATCAGAAAACAATATCAATATAAATTGTAAGGATACCAGCAACAAAGTTACAGTCATACAGTCATAAGTGGGAGGAGATGGATGGTGGGAACGGTGAGAAGATTAATAGTAGTGCAGACCAGGGGTGGGTTCTAACCGGCTTTACTACCGGTTCTCTTTGTGCGTGCACTTTGTGCGTGATCGCCTCTTCGGTCGCCCGCTTTGTGCTATGCGCAAGCGCGTTGTGAATCTGCCCAGCTGAGGTGCGTAAATCCACTCTGCCGCACCTCTCAGCTGGGCGAAAAAAGAAGAAATATAAGGTCGGAATAATGCGGGGGCGGGCAGGAGGGCCCAGCTCCTGAAGAAAGAGAACCGGTTCGGTGACATAATAGTGTCACCGCTACCGGCTCGGCCGAACTGGGAGCAACCCACCACTGGTGCAGACTTAGTAACTAGTTTGACAGTGTTGTGGGAATTAGTTGTTTAGCAGAGTGATTGCATGGGTGAAAAAACTGTCCTTGTGTCTAGTTGTTCTGGTGTGCAGTGCTCTATAGTGTCGTTTTGAGGGTAGGAGTTGAAACAGTTTATGTCTAGGATGTGAGGGGTCACAATTTATATCACAATTTCGATCTTTATAGCGCTTCCGGTATCAGTATATCTCCTAAGTACATATACATTATTTTTGTTATTCTTCCTTTCCTTTTGTGTACAGTCCACTTTGAAGGTATGGAGTAAATAGAAGACGTTTGAAGGGGTTTGGACCTATAGGATATGGTTCTGATGTGGCTTTGTGGATGGGACAGTAATCTTTTCTGAAAGTCACTCTTCATGATCTCTTAGTCCTTCACCATTCCCAAACCAGCTTCATACTTGACTTTAACCAAAAAGTTCCAAGAGTTGATAGGTTTATATTCCTTTATAGGGTAGGGCTCTTAGTCTCCATGACCGCCCTGGAGGTAATACTAGATCTGACTCATTTAAAACTGTTTGGTTAGGAACTTGATTGAATGGCTCCTCCTCCTCTTCTTTATTCTTTTAACATTTAAGTGAAGCCTCTGTGAGAGAAATCATCTATTGGTTGAGGGTGCAGTTACTACCAACATGTTAATGATATGCAGGTATACAGCTGTAATTGGAGACTGCCTCTAAGGGAAGCTTGGAGATGATTGTTGTGTCCATGTTACATCCTATAGTAGAGGGAGATTGAAACTGCCTATTGGAAGCTATGCTGATACCCAGCATTTTCTACAAGGGGCGTCTATCTAGTAATTACTGAGTTATGAGCAGGTGCTTGACAGTGATAGGAAACAGTTCAATGCCAATTGTAGGAAACAGGATAACAATTCTCCCCTCCCTCCCACGAACTGCCTGCTACTTACAGCTCCTTCCTCAAACTGCTGTGTCCAACTCAGGAATAGATATTGCTGCAAATAGAAAGATAAGGGCTGAATTTAGTTAGTGTCATTTCCACCTAAGCTTTTAAAAAACCTATTCTGCCTCTATTTCTTTTAATAAAAAAATATTAAGGGATTATAGTTATCATACAATGACCTAACTAAGTTTAAAATATATTTCAAATAGAGTATTTGTATGCTTCTTTGTTTCACTGTTTCTCAAAACTTGCTCGAAAATACACAGATTTTCTTATTTTTAGATGTCTGGACACATCACTCACATTGTTAAAATATTTGATACATGTAGAGACAAGCCACGTCATCCATCTGGAAGTGTAAAAGGTATTGCACGCTTGCTTAAGACTATCAAATCCTATGGCAGCAGATAATCTGTAGGTAGCAAAATTGGTGTCTTGTATATTTACTGAAAATGAATTAAAGTGTTAAATCATCTATTTTTTTTCTCTCTCTCTCTTTTTGCAGGCAAGAGGTGCAGACATCCCTGAGATTTCTGGAGAGTTATCCTTGCGGACCTGTGGCAGTACAGCTAGCATGAAAGTGAAGAATGTGAAAAAGTAAGATGTTTTGTTTCATCCTTGCAACTTTAGTGGCGTTCTTGGCATTCCTAAATGTTGACTCCAAGATGCTGGTTGACTTGTTGTCGATATACAGGTGGAGTAAGTAAAATTAATCCCTGTTGCACAAAGGCAATCTATAAAAGCCAAATACCACTCACTCATCACGAAATCTCCAGAACGGTAAAGCCTAGAAACTTGAAATTTGGCACGTATGTTCCTCTTGGCTTCTAGGTGTTCGCTAAGAAAGGATTTTTCAAAATGACCATCAGATAATTATTATTTCATATACAGTATTATATTCACATGCTCTGATGCTAAGGAGTTAGACGTTCTACTCCCCCTCCCCACCTGAAAAGAACTCTGTTCCAACTGCCAGTTGCCTTATATTAACACGCTCTGATGCTACGGAGTTACACATTCTACATTAAGTTTCAGGCTTTAAGTGTCAATTTATCACACCCAATCACATAGTTTTGTAGCGAAGCACGGGTGTCCAGCTAGTAAGAAATAAAAGGTAAAGGTTTCCCCTGTCCAGTTGTGTTCATCTCTAGGGTGTGGTGCTCATCTCCGTTTTTTGGCTGAGGGAGCCAGCATTGTCCAAAGACATTTTACATGGTCATGTGATGACAATGGCTCTATACTAGGGGTGTCAAACTAGTGGCCCACGGGCCAGATGCATCACACGCTGGCCACCCCCACCCCCGGTTTAGCGAAGGGGAAAAAAAAGTCGAGATACATCACGTGATGATGTGACGCCACGAGTTGGACACCCCTGCTCTACACCAAAGGCTCACAGAACCCACTCATCCTCTCACCAAAATGGTACCTATTGATCTACTTGCATTTGCATGCTTTTGAACTGCTAGGTGAGCAGGAGCTGGGGCAGGAACGGGAACTCACCCTGTTGCATGGCGCTTGAGTCTCGAACCCAGCTTGCAGCCTTCCAGCTGACAAGCTCAGTGTCTTTAATTGCTGAGCCATTGTCCCCCCCCCCATAGGAAATATGCTCACTTAAACAGAAAGCCTGCCCACATTTTCTGCCTTCCCCTCCCACTTCCCCTCCCCTTTTTAACTTCTAGAAACCCAAGGCAGGCCAATAGATGAAGTGTTTTACTGCTTTATTTTTCCTCCTCCTATTACAATTGTGCAGATCTCTGAAATTAAAAGGGCCTATTTCTAAACTGGGTAAGGGGTTGGGAGCAAATTTTTTCCCTACCGGTTCTGTGGGCATGGCTTGGTGGGGGGTTCCTGTGACTGAGTGGGCATGGCCAACTCAATGTTACTCACGGCCATGCCCACTCAGTCACATGACCTCCCACCAAGCCACGCCCACAGAACCCAGTATGAAAAAATGTGTGTATGAGCATGAGAAGGGCTCATAGTGAATACTGTGGCAGAGAGAATCCGAACTTTTCTCCCTCCATTTATAGCGGAGCTGCTGCTCCCTTTATGGTCCCTCCTGGCCCCCTCCCTCCCGGGGACTACCTTAAAGGGACAGGCCACAGCAGTTCTGCTGTGAATGGAGGGAGGAAAGTTCGGATTCTCTTTGCTGCATTTAACGTTGAATTCTGTGGAATATCGAGTGGCTGGAAGGGCCGAGCGAGCGGCTGGAAGAGGTGAGCGGTGAGCAGGTGACCAAGCGGGCGTAGGAGGGGCCAACCAAGGGTTATTCTTACCGGTTTGGCGAACTGATTCAAATTGTACCTACCGGTTCGCCCGATCCGGTCCTATCCGGTTGAATTTCACCCCGGGTTGGGAGGGAACCATGGGATTCTGTGCTGCATCCCATCTACCAGAGTAACTATCATGAACAGATCTCTATACCAACCGCTATTTAGAGCTGCCTCGTCTGCTTTCATCTTCTGTGCCCTCAGGCTCCAGTCTTTGGTGCAGTGGCTTCCACAGATAGAGAGAGCTTTATCTTAATTGCAACCTTGTCATTGGGATTGCACCAATTCTATCTCATTGCTTTTGATTTTGATAGCAGAGCCTCCTATCTCAAATCAGACATCAGGACAAGCTTTAGATTAGCTTCTTTAGGTTTATGTTTTGTCTTGATGACTTGCTGAATCAAAGCATAAACTTCCTATATGTAAGAAGAAAAAGTGCCTCTGACTGTCACTTACAAGGAAAGTATGGCAAAATATGTACCTTAACTATCACAAATTTGAGAAAGGACTCCTTTGAACTGAGCTTCACTTCCTTTCTTCCTCTGTAATCCCCTCTGTTCCCAATTTAATCCGCTAGTAGGGTGGACTTGTATTTGATCCATCTTTGGCTCCAGTAATGATTTGAAGTTCAGAAAACTATCCAGGAATGGAATTGTTCAGAACTCTCATCAATCATGTGCTGATTCTGCAAGAGAAGGCTGATGACCCTGTTTTCTAGTGGGGAAAGACCAGGTGCTAAATCTCATTTTTCTTTTAAAGTCCTAAGGGAAGAATGACTGATGATCAAACACTCTTTGTTCACCACCAAAAAAAAAATGTGCTGCAGGACACTAAAATAGTTTCTGCACTGCTATAATATAGCTTCAGCAATACCTATCATTTTGTAACCCCAAGTCAAAGCTAGAAAATAATTAAAAGACATGTTTGGTTCCCAGGTCTACCAGTATAGAACTGATGGACTCTTTAATTATTTTCACAGATAATTTCTGTCAATTGGGATAGATATATGAAGTTCATTCGTGTTTCTTGGTTTGCTTCGCTATCCTTCAATCTTCTAGCTAGCTCTCTTGGCTGTCAGGTTCCGAAATAAAAGACTCCAAACCTTGAAGATGATGGTTAGAAGATGCTTTATCGGTACAGACTGACATCCATAAATAATGAAAGGAAATATTGTTGTAGCTACTGCTCCGTGCTCCCCACCACCTTATAAAGTCTTGTGCCTAGGCAGCCCATTAAAGCAGCCCCACCCTCTCCTAATCCATGGGCTATCCGCCCACACACTGGTCACACCCACCTCATTCCTACTTACTTCCTACTGCGTACAGGGAATGTCAGCAAGCCATAATCACCCCCAATCAGCCCCAGTCCTGCCAGCACTTTCAGCTCTTTCAGCCCTGGTCTTGCCAGCACTTTCAGCTCCCAGTTCAGGCCAGCACTTTCAGGGCTGCTACGCTTACTCCTTCCCTCTGGGAGCCTCCCATCGCTCGGAGATGCTTGCAATTCAACAGCGGAGAAGGCTGCCGGCTGCCTTATGACGTCCTCCTTCCCTTCAGGAATGAGAGTAGGCTGTAGCAGTGGCTGGCAGCATCCTGGAAGCAGTAGGATCAAGGTTAGCTCGGTGGGCTGTGGCAGCGCCGGCCGTGCCGGGGCTAACATTGGCACGTTAAAGGATGAATTCCTTGCCTTCATATTTCAGTTTCAGGTGCAGACTCTTTTTAGCTGGAATTTGTCCTGTAACAACAAATGATACTTGATAGTTTGCTTCTTTCCCTAGAAACCTTTCCTTTATTGTTTCTTTTTATGTTACATAGACGATACTCCCATATTCTGTGGGATTTGGAACGACAAGACATTCCGATGACAATGTCAGGAGAACCTTTACTTGATTGAAGTGTCGGTTCTGATTTCTGCAATAATATACTTCCTCCCTGTCTTTCAGATTGTCCTTCACCAAAGGCCATTTTCCAAAGATGGCAGAATGTGCACACTTCCATTATGAAAATGTGGACTTTGGCAATATACAGGTGAGAGAATGTTAAACCGGGTTAAACTGTTTCATGTGTTGTCATGGAGATGCTTCGTCTTTAACACATATTTTCTAGCCTCACCTAATGGTTCTGTAGGTTTATCATCTGCCTGTTTTGCAATCTTGTATTTAATTTCCAAACTTCCTGCTTCCACGGTGATTTACGGATCAGCAAGCTCTGTTATGCATGCCCATTGCATCACACACTGTCAGTCCTGTTTTGAATCCTTAATCTTTCTCTGTATTTGAAATGAACATAATCATTTCTATTTTCATAGTCACTGGGGAATAATAATGGAATTCTGCCCCAGTGCTTCATAAATAAAAGCAGTTCCCTTATATGTTAAAAAATAAGAGTAGACTAAAGGAGATATGTATACTGAGTCATAGAATCATAGGGCTGGAAGGAAGGGACCTTGGAGCAGGGGTGAAATCTACTTACCTTCCTTACCGGTTTGGAAGTGCATGCGCCGCGCGCTCGTTTGCTTGCGCTCACAAAACCTGCGCATGCGCAGAAGGTAAAAAACACATTACTTCCTGGTTAAAACCAGGAAGTAATGACACCCGGGCGGGTGGGCGGAGCTTTGCTCCACCGTCACTACCGGATCGCCGAACCAACGGCCAAAATTGCTACTGGACCGGGCGATCCGGTCCTATCTGGGAGCATTACACCCATGCCTTGGAGGTCTTCTAGTCCAACCCCTTGCCCAAGGCAGAAGTCCTTATACCATACCCAACAAACGATAGTCCAGTCTTTTCTTGAAAAATTCCAGTGACGGAGCATCTCACAATGTTAAATTATCTTCCTACTAAAACTAGTGTTAGTAATAAAGAGTTGGTAACCAGATTGACACAAAAGTGACTTAAATGGCTTATGTAAAATTCAATCTAAAGACAAAGCAATCTTATCAATATGATCTATTTTTGATTATTCTTTATTTTAAAACGGTTGCTTTAGCTTAAGTTGATAGCAAGCTCTATGTTTTTAAATGAGCGCGTGGATAATAACTTCAATAAAGACCTGATCATATTTTGGTAGTTCAAATGCTGAGTGTTGGGCAAGTCCCATTATAGTGACTGGACAAACCTCTATCATTTTTTTCCTTCCTGTTAGATATACTTTAGCATGTGTTCTCTCACAGATGTATTTTTTTAAAAGCCAGTTTTTCGGGCTAAGGCTGTGCCAAAAGTAGCATAGCTTTCAGTGATTTTTAATGGGTTGCACAGAATAGAGAAAATGGCAGAATTAATCAGAGGCCACCATGCAAGGCAGACAAACCTGTCCTATCAAAATAGTTTCTAAGTTAATAAGACTCCTGCTGGTATATAGCAAGTGGCTATATTTATTAAAATACCGTTAGCCTGCCCTGTATAAATTTTGGGACAGGGAGTAGTGATTAAAACGATTCGCTGACGTTAAAGCAGAAGTCACAATCCAACATTGATGGTAAAATAAATGGTGTGCGTGGGAATGGTTGGGGGAGTGAGCCATCTTACTGTTGCTGAGCAGAATAGAAAAAACAACAACCTCAGAATGGTAACAGACATTGACTGCTGAAACTGTGGATTAACCCTTCCATTTTTTCCCCTTCCTTTTCTCTTGTACCTTGTACCTGGTATCTTGCTCAATAGTAGTAACTGTGAGAGGGATCTTGGAGTCCTAGTGGACAACCATTTAAATATGAGCCAGCACTGTGCTGCAGCTGCCAAAAAAGCCAACACAGTTCTAGGCTGCATAAACAGAGGGATAGAATCAAGATCACGTGAAGTGTTAATACCACTTTATAATGTCTTGATAAGCCCACACTTGGAAAACTGCATCCAGTTTTGGTCACCACGATGTAAAAAAGCAGAGAAGAGCAACCAAGATGATTAGGGGACTGGAGGCTAAAACATATGAAGAACGGTTGCAGGAACTGGGTATGTCTAGTTTAATGAAGAGAAGGACTAGAGGAGACATGATAGCAGTGTTCCAATATCTCAGGGCTGCCACAAAGAAGAGAGATTCTCCAAAGCACTTGAGGGTAGAACAAGAAGCAATGGGTGGAAACTAATCAAAGAGAGAAACTAAGGAGAATTTTCCTGACAGTTTGAACAATTAATCAGTGGAACAACTTGCCTCCAGAAGTTGTGAATGCTCCAACACTGGAAGTTTTTAAGAAGAGATTGGACAGCCATTTGTCTGAAGTGGTGTAGGGTTTCCTGCCTAAGCAGGGGGTTGGACTAGATGATCTCCAAGGTCCCTTCCAACTCTGTTATTCCATTCTATTCTTCCTTTCTTCCCCCTCCTTTTATTTTCCTGTTTCCGATGGAAGTGAAGGAAAGGGTGACTTTGTGTGCCAGAGTGGCTTGTATGTAAGAGAAAGCTACCTTGATTGCCAAATAAAGTGGGGTCCCCCCCAAATTGGGAACTTTATTTTATAGGCAGTTAATTTGAATTAGTTATTTGATGAATACAACTTCAAATGTGTTTGCTTTGGGAGCAGGTGATGGATTCTGACCAGTATACGCTACAGGCATGCACACATGACACAAATGTAAATACGGCAAAGCACGTTAAATTGAGGAGGGAACCTCTAGAATTGACGTCCAGCTGGAGGCAGATTGAGAAAGTAGGCAGTCTGAGCATTGCACAGGAATTTTATTTCTGCTTTTATTGTTTCCAACCCAACAAAATATTGGAAAGAAAGCAGGGAAAGAGAGTTGAGACTCCGTGCATGGTAGGCCAATCGTTCAGAACCAAAACTGAGCAGGATCACTTTTAATGTTGATGGAGAAGCTAACAACGAGAACAGGAAAGGTTTAAAAATTGGGCTGGACCAGGCTAGGAGCTGCGAAGGGGAAAATAAATCAGAATATATATTGTTCAGTTCTCTTTCTGAACATCCCCACTGCTGATCCATGGATTGGAAAGAATCCCACCAGCTATCCTTTGGGTGCTTCCTTCCTTCTTTTTAATCGTCTCTTTCTTTCTAATTACTTTCTTTTGGAGTAGTTTTCTTTTCGAGGAAATTCAGTCATTGCAAAATAAAATTCTGCTGAACTGCAGCCGAACGGACCTTGAAGGTTTTCTAGCTTTATCATAAACGAGACAATGCCGGTGCCATCTGTACCTCTGACGCTGCGGAATAGCGTCGCGTGATTGACTTCCCTCGTTTCCCCCCCCCACATAGAAAAAAAAAGCTCCTTTTAGCAGACTTTAAACGCAGAGAGAGGAGCTTCTTCAATTATCGAGACCCCGAACAGATGTAACTTTATAACGTCTTTGTCACACCTTCTGTCTGAAAGCAAACTAGGATGAGTCAAGATAGCCTTTTGCCTTTCCCGTTAACAAATATCCGTAACGGCCCCTGTTATCATTTTCTCAATACCTTGACCGCAGAGAGGACATTGGCGACTGGCCAGTGTTTCTTTTTTGTTCCAGGGAGAACTTGTCTGAACGGTTGACAGTATTTCTAAAAACAAAACAAAACCAAAAAAACCCTGCTTACCAGTCCAAAATGAAAAATGAGTGCTGAGTTAATGTTGATTTTAATACATCGACCTCTATACCGGTGTTTCTCAACCTTGGAAGCTTGAAGATGGGTGGACTTCAACTCCCAGAATCCCCCAGCCAGCGTTGCTGGCTGGGGGATTCTGGGAGTTGAAGTCCACCCATCTTCAAGCTTCCAAGGTTGAGAAACACTGCTCTATATCCTGGCAGAGGTATAAAATGCTTGCTCACGGTGTGAATCTTGTTGGATTCAATTTGCGAGAAGATAAAAGGACCAACCTTCTGTAGGCTTTCCTTTCCTAGAGCTGCGGAATCATGTTTTGTTCGAGCAGAGGCGTCATTTTTGTACGAGAACTATCTGGTTGATAAGGTTCGCGACTTGCTAATGTCTGTATTCATCTTTGATTAATTATGTTGACTTACCAAATGAGCTTGCTAAGGTTTTTTTGCTAGTGACTATATTAGCTCTGGACTCCTTGGAGCTTTTCGACGTTGGTTGTTTACAAACTCCATATCCCCTAAGCACTGAAGATATTACCTAGTCAGGTAACAAAATGCCTTCAAGCAAAGAGAGAGAGAGTAGTACCAAAGATACCACAGCCCAACCCTGAGCTACGTGTATTCTCTTCTCTTGGAATATTAGCTTTGTTGGTGAAAAAACAAAACAAAAAGTCCTGCTCAGACAAATAGAAAATTAGTGTGAAAAAAATTAGGCGGCAAGTAGTTAACAGTGAAATGGATTTTTTGTTTTGCTGTAAAACGAAGGAAACATACTTTTAACAATATGTTGTGTCTGAATTGGGACACTGTTGTATTTCAGGGGCTTTTTTTTTTTTAAATCTGGCTGGCCTCTTTCTTTCTCTCTGGCCTCTTAGCAACAAAAGCAGAGTTATTGGTATTCCCCAGAAAGTTGGGGGAAAAAAACCAACCCTCTGCCATTCTTTATATATTTCACTTGACCTAATTTCTCTTCGTCCCATAGAGAAAGTAAGATTCTTTAATAAAGAACTTCATGTTGGTTGGGCCTCCCAAGTCTCCTGGCACCTAATAAGCCGCCCTCAATTTCACCAATGTAAGAAGAGCTGAGAATTTAAATTACCCCTCTCCTCAATGTCAAAGGACTGGAGCGTGTGCAGTTTTGTAAGAAAGAGATTTGCTGCAAAGCAGTAGCGTGTGGACGCGGAAAAATAATTTATTTCTAGCATTATAAATGTTTCCTTTCTCAGTGCTCGGTAAATATATGCAAGATGCAAGGAGATCCTGTTGAAAGCACAATTTGACTCCGTCAGATAATGTCACGCTGTTATAAATAATTCTTCTTTTATTCTTGGCTTGTAAGTATTACGCTCAGCGAAATGGCGGTTGACAAGGGCCCAGCGGTATAAAAGGCAGAAAGCAGGAAAGAGGGAATGGGAAGGATGAAAATTCTAATACGTGATGATACTGCAGAAAAAAAAAATGCAGTCAAACCGGACCATTTAATTTCGCTGAATTCATTTGAGATA